CTGATCCGAAGCCAGGAGCCAAGTGCTTCTCCTGGTCTCCCATGCGGTGCAGGGCCCACTGCACTCCTGGGCCAGAGCAGAGAGCTGGCCTGGAAGAAGGGCAACCGGGACAGAATCTGGCGCCCCGACTGGGACTAGAACCGGGTGTGCCGGCGCCGCAAGGCGGAGGATTAGCCTATTGAGCCGAGGCGCCGGCTTATCTGTGGTTCTCTAAATCTTCCCCCACCATTCTCCCATCCTTTCAAGGGTTGGTCACCATCCTTCCAGAATTGAGACATCTTCTCCCCCACCCCTATTCCGGGGAGATTCTGAAACTGGAACTGGAGTCTTTGAAGCTAGAATTGTTCAATAAATTAGAAGAAAATAACAGAGGATCACATTTCTTTTTGATTTCCCCCTTTATGCGATGAGAATGAAGTTTCCATCTTTGCAGCACATTTTCGGAATACACAGTTGTGGCTGAGGTCTCTGTTGCTAAAATTTAGACCCTACAGCACCTTGGGATAAAGCCTTCCTTCTGGGCTGTCACATCTCCATTGCGTTAAAACACTGTCAGGGGTGAACGCTCTGTGTAGCAGGTAAAGCTCCTGCCTACAGTGTCGGTTCGAGTCCCGGCTGCTCCAATTTCCAAACTAGCTCTCTGCTATGGCTTGGAAAAGCAATGGAAGATGGCCCAAGTGCTTGGGCCCCTGCACCCATGTGGAAGACCTGGCTCCTGGCTTCAGATCAGCTCCACTCTGGCTGATGTGTTTATTTGGGGAGTGAACCAGCAGATGGAAGCTCTCTCGTGCCTCTCTCTCTCTCTGGCTCTACTTCTCTCTGTAACTCTTTCAAATAAATAAAATAAATCTTAAAAACACAAAACACTGCCAAGGTGGAGGCTGGCTCTATTGTGTGTCTTCGGCCTGGGAGGAGCTGGGTTGACAGCTCTCATAGGCTGTAAAGCGACTGTGCATCCCGGACCATTGGTGTGGGTTTGAATAAAGAGACATTTTCAAGGGCCAAAGAGTTTGGAGTCATTGATTGTATTAACCCCCAAGACTTCGGTAAACCCAGCCAGCGATGCTCACTGAGATGGCTGATTGAGACACGGCCCGTTCCTTCGAGTGCATGGCAGTGTGAGGTCATGACACCAGCACCCGGGACATGCCACAAAGGCTGGGGCTTCAACATGGTGGCTGGAGTAGCCGGTCCAGGCGAAGAACTCGTGCCTGTCCATTCCAGCTGGTGACAGGTCGCATGCGGGAAAGCACCATCTCTGGAGGATGGGAGAGTGTGACAAGTGTCCCGGAGTTTGTGCCTGAATGTATGATGAAGAAGATAAAAGTTGATGCATTTGTGACCAACAACCTGCTTTTAACGACATTAACAAAGCCATTGAGCTGATGCATTCAGCAAAGAACATTTGGAGGGTTGTAAAGATGTAAATTCAGATGGGAAGTCTGTCTGTCCTGGACTTAGGTCTTCTTATCTGATGGGAGATTGAGACACACGGAAGAATCTCTTCCTGCCGCACGGCTTATGGCACCTTCACTTACTACGCTAGGGCTTAGTTACGCCACATCAGTGATAAATCTGGTCACTAGTATCTTCCTCAAATGAATGATTGCTAACTAATAAAGGAAGATTTTAACATAATTAAAGTGATCTCTGCAAAAAACAAAAACATAGTGCACAGGCACTTGCTGGGCCATCGTCTCACCTGGATGGGGGTCCCACAGTGCACAGGTGCAAGGGGCCTTCACAGCCTAATAGTTCACAGGGTGTCAGGATGCACCTTTTTCTTTTTTTAAAAAGATGTTATATATTTATTTGAGAGGTAGAGTTACAGACAGCGAGAGGGAGAGACAGAGAGAAAAGACTTCCATCCACTGGTTCACTCCCTAGATGTCCGCAACGGCTGGAGCTGCACTGATCTGAAGGCAGGAACCAGGAGCTTCTTTTGGGTCTCCCACACAGGTGCCTATACCCAAGTGATTGGGTCATCTTCTACTGCTTTCGCAGGCCATAGCAGAGAGCTGGATGGGAAATGGAGCAGCCAGGACTAAAACTGGTGCCATATGGGATGCCGGTGCTGCAGGCAGAGGATAAACCTACTGTACCACAGAGCAGGCCCCCAGGATGCACCTTTCTATACCTCTTTCAGAATGAAGAGTTGGTTCCATCCTTGGAGATGTGGCCGATTGGTTGAGTGGTGGGAAATGAATGTTCCTCACTGCGGTCTGCTTAGGATGGGGGACCAGAGGCTGTAGGGTCAGCTTTCATTTCCGTGTCATCCAGTAGTTGCCCCCACACACAAGTGGCCACTGCAATGTCCGTTATAGGAAACTGAATGAATGCAATGAAAAAGTCAGTTCTTAGCTGCAATAGTCACGTTTCAGGTGCTCAGTGTTCGTGTCTCAATGGCCACTGTCTGGGCAGTGCAGGCACAGGACATTTCTCACGGACCATGGGGCTTCACACGGATTCCGGATAGGTTGCTGTAAGGGAGGGTCCAACCAGGGGTTAACAGAAGGTCAACAGCCCGGGACAGACCCTTGCTGCATTCTAAGGGACATTTTTATTGGGACAATTGTAGATCCACATGCAGTTGTGAGCAGTAACACAGAGATTCCATAGACTTTGCCGATTGCCATCACCAGTAACAATTTGCGATATGCACAGTAAAATATCACAGTTAAGACCACTGCAGAACAGTGCAGCCCTTCTCAGAGTCCCCCAGCTCTGTGTGCGTGTTTGCCCGTGTGTTGAGTTCTGGACAGGTTCATCTCGTGCAGTTTTGCATTTCCATCACTGCAGTCAAGATCAGAGCCATGGGGGCTGGCGCTGTGGCGCAGCTGGTAAAAGCTGCCACCTGCATTGCCAGCATCCCATGTTGGTGCTGGTTTGAGTCCCGCTGCTCCACTTCTGAACCAGCTCTCTGCTGTGGCCTGGGAAAGCAGTAGGGGATGGCCCAAGTGTTTGGGCCCCCTGGACCCACATGAGAGACCCGGAAGAAACGCCTGGCTCTTGGCTTCAGATTAGCACAGCTCCATCGTTGCAGCTAGTTGGGGAGTGAACCAGCAGATAGATGATTCTCTCTCTCTTTCTCTCTCTCTCTCTCACTAACTCTGACTTTCAAGTAAATAAATAAATCTTTAAAAAAAAAGATCAGAGCCTGTCCACCTGCATCAGGATCCCCTTGTCACCCTGGTAGAAACAAACACTCCTCCCTTGTCCCCTAATCCAACCCTGTCCTCTGGCAGCCATGAATCTGTTCACCATTTCCACCCTTTTGTCAGTTCAAATATACTACAGAGATGGATCATCCAGTGTGTGACCTCCTGGGATTTCTCCCGCAGCAGTTAACTAGGAGATGGTTTATACGCTTCCTTGCCACCATGCATGTTGCTCCAACAATGGCCAGCTTCCTTCCACACTACTGGCTACCTTGTATGGAGGTAGTGTGACCCAGTATTAGCCAGAAGTGGGTTGGATTAAATCCACCAGTATGAGAGTGGATAACACACAGTGTGCGGGGAAATCTGTCTGTGGGGTGCCTCCTGCTGCCTCACCACCGAAGCCCAAGAATCACGATGTTCAGCCTGACTTCTTTAGCATTTAGTGTTAGCACCATACAGAATCCACAGGTCAATGTGGCTGGATGGCCCAGACAATATAATCCTCGTGAACTTCATCGTGGGAAATTCTAGTTAAAAGATAATGCACCTTTTTCTATGAATTTTAAACAATTGTCTTTATTCATTTGAGACACACATACACACATCTCTCACTCACTGGTTCACTCTTCAAATTCCCAAAATGCCTGCAGGCCAACACTGGAAGACAGAGACTCCATCGAAGCCCCCGTTAGCAGGCTCCCAGCCACTTGAGCCGTGGCCTGCTGCCTCCTGCCTCAGTGTTAGCAGGACACTGCCATCAGGAGCAAGAGCCTGGGGGTCTAACCCAGGTCCTCTGGTGTGGGGTGTAGGTTAGGCCGAATGCCCACCACTTGCACAAACGTTTTGAAGTCACCTTGTGTATCTAATGAAGTGGGGACAAGGCTACTGCAGGGCCTGAGCAGGCGGGACAAGCAGGCCTGTGATGGTGATTCTTGAGGGAATCAGGGTGGCCGCTCCCTTGGTGCCCAGGAATCAGACCCAGGCCTCTGTATTCAGATTAACTCATGGCAAAGGGGGCCTCTTCTTCTTCTCGGCTCTGACTCTTGGAGGAAGCCGGTCTGCCTGCCAGTGTGGCAGGAACCCAGTGAGGTGTCTGAACGTGGGCTTCATGCATGAAACAGAAAGGGCCAGGCCCTGCCAGGTGGAGAGGGGGCCTGGGACACTGGGACCTCCATTCCCATCAGGCTGGGAAGCACACAGGTTGGGATGAGTGGGTCATCGGCCCTCAGCTCTGTCCTTTAAGCCCTAAAGTCTGCTTCTCCTAAAGTCTGCTTTCTACCACGTAGCTTGGAAAAGCGTTGCCAAGGCTTAGTCAACACGGCCATGCCTACCTACACTTCTGCTGAGCGCAGAGTGGTGCAGCCCAGTTGGAGAGCACTTGGCCTGTGCTAGTCTTCCGGGGATGGGATTCATGGGAGAGGTTTTCCTGCAGACTCCCAGTGATCTCAGAGGACTTCATAGCTGAGTGCTTCCCACAAGTGGCCCTCATGTCACACACGGACACTGGTTCTCCTTCCCAATGACTTAGGCTGCTTACAGAAAGAGGTCAACTGCCTTTCCCTGTGCAGTACTGTCCAGGTAGTCCTACAGGTCCAAATCCTGAAGTCTGAGGGCCATCTTCAGACACAGTCATTGTTTTCCATGTAGTATCTGCTTTCACTTACCTAATGGTCTGAGTGTCTGTGACCGGGTGTGCGGCCTACAGAGCCAAGGACGTTTCCTCTGTGTCCTGTCTCTAGTGCTTGCTATCTCCTGAGTTGCCCCATCCATTCCCTGGCTCTCACTTTTCCTGTGATCAGATTTGTGGGATGAATTTTCTCAGTATTCGAACAATGTGCATAGCAGCTTCACAATGAATCATTTATTTGACTCTTGATTTCCCTGGGTTATTTCCAGCCATTACAACTAGTCTCTCCCCATACACAGAGGATATCGCAAGAAAATTCAGAGAATTAAGAGTCAGGTTACTGAGTTACCTACACAAGGTGTAGAACATTTGCAGGTCTTAGTTACTAGCGATGTTTGGATTTCCCCAGTGGCTGGGACATTTGCTGACAGTGTAAAGTCCTTTAGGTTAATTAGGACAGGCTAGCAAGCAGGACCTGTGGGTGGAGCTAGGGGTGAGCTCACCACTGTTCAACTTTTTTGTCCATGACAAACTGCCCATGAGGGCCCTCGGCATCTGGAGGCAAAAGGGCCAAGTACACGGGGGTCTCTGCTCCTTCTTCTGGGCTCTTGGTTGCGTCGGGTCCCCCCATGTCGGTTCTCACCCACCCTGGGCAGCAGGCGTTCAGGAGGATCTTGTCCCCTCCCCTCTGCTCACTCAGGTGCCTGGCCTGGATTCTGGACAGGACAGTGACTCCGATCTTGGTCACTCCATAGGCAGTGTCAGGCCAGCCTTCCGTCTGGTGCACCCCCTTCTTCGTGTCTTCCACGAACTTCTTCATGAGCCCCACAAGCTCCTCCTCCGTGATGGTCTCACTGCGAAACTTCTGCTGCAGCTCCGGGCTGCAGGATTTAAGGGCTCTGAGACACATCAGGCTGGACACGTTCACCACTCTGCCTAAAATACACCAGAAATCACTATCAGGAGAGGCTTGCACAGGACGGCTGGAGCCCAAAGGCGCTGGGATTTGAGTAACCCGACAAACAAATGGCAGAGTGATTTCCAAGTGAAATGGACAGACACAGCGTGGTGGTCACACAGGCAACGACTCCACTTCTGCCTTCACCTTCTGGGTGAGCAGAGAAGGCAGTGACATTGCAACGAGCCACCTTTGAGGTCCCAGTAACGCAGGGTCCTGTAAGCAGCAGGACCTGCCAGGAGGACAGGACAGGGAACTGGACAGGAGTTGAGAGGGAACCGAATGTGAAGTCCTCAGTTCAGCATCCCACGTTTCCGTGTTTTGTTAGTGGCTGCTTGTCATTTGGTGTACATGCACGTCACTGCATCACTCAGGATGAGTGCTGTACCACGTTCCACAGCAAATAGGATCCTGTGTCGTGTTGTGTACAATGAGCCCGTTGAAGTGCAGTTAACCTGAGCCAGGAGGTAGGCAGCGTCAGAGAACGCAGCTCCCTGCAAACCATGCCAAGGGCCCAGACTGTGCATCCAAATTATCTCTCAGAAGGGAGAATCCATGCAGCAAGTTCACAGAGGCTTGGGAAGGAGGGGACTCAAGAACTGGGGTCCCTAGGGATTCGCATTCTTCCAGAACCACAGTGAATCTGCCACGTCCAAGGCCCCTGCTGTGCAACTGGGATACAATGCAGGGGGAGACTGAGGGAGCTCAGTCCCAGCCCTGGAAGTGACCGTGGAGGACGGGGCAGGGCAGGGTGACCGCCAGGATCAGGTAGGTGCCCACGGTGACACAGGGGTGGAGGAGCAGCCTCTGGAAATGTGTTTTAGCCTGCGAAGGGCATCAGGAGGTGACGGAGAGGCAGGACAGCTCAGGGTGTCTAAGGAGGAGACGTCCTCTGGGGGATACAGTGGGTGACCGCTAGGAAGGACCTGCCAGGCTGACTCAGGTCACTCAGGGAGCAGAGAGGGCCCAGGGTGGCACCCCCAGGGCCTCCAAAATGAGATGGGCCTCTCCCAGGAGACCTGTGAGCTGAGCTAAGACTGCAGGGTCAGAAGGCGCCAGGTGTGCCAAGGGCAGAGACCGCAGGGGCAGTGCAGGAGCGGGGACGATGTCCTGACCCAGGACAGCCCCTGGCAGGGGCAGCAGCAGGCTGGTGCAGCTGGAGCAGGACAGGCAGCAGGGATGGAGCTGAGAGCTCAGGCAGCAGGGCCAGCTCCTCCTGAGGGCACAGCGTGGGGTCCCCAGGAGACTCACCTCCGGGCCTCATGAGAGGCAGCAGCTCCGTGCAGACATCTCGGGTGCCATCAAAGTTTGTCTTCATAGTCACTTCCGCTTGAATATGAAAGGGCGTGATATCCGCAGCTTTTTGGGGCAGAGAACAGATAATAAACACACAGCCTTGGCCGGAACGCTACAGGAACAAAACAGCTGATCCATTTCTGCAGGAGGGTACCCTTGAGGGAGTGAAGGATCTACCCTGGTATCTCTTGTTGGTCATTATCACTATTACTATTATTGTATACAATGTATTATTTATTTTAAATACACTTAAAAATTGACCCACCGGCTAAATCTCAATCAAAGAGAAACTGAAGGAAGCCTGGACACGCTCCCCGGTGTCCAGCCTGGGAAACACCCAGGCTCCTTTGGCTGGAAAAGGGTCCCAGTCCCCAGGGGCTCCAAGGGTACCACCCAACATGAGACTTCCTTTTCCTTCGCAGGGAGGTCTGTTCTGGACCACACAGGCTCCCCCCATAGGCTCTGCCCATCCCAGCTGCAAGAATCTGGGGAGGTCTCTCACACGGTGCACAGACTCCTTACCCTGGAAGGCAATGCCCGCGTTGTTGACCAGCACGTCCAGGCCCCCATACTCCTTGCGCAGGAAGTCGCGCAGGGCGCGGATGCTCTGCAGGTCCGTGATGTCCAGCTGGTGGAAGCGCGGGCTCAGGCCCTCAGCCTGCAGCTGCTGCACGGCCACCCGGCCCCGTGCCTCGTCCCGCGCCGTGAGCACCACGTCCCCCGAGAAGAGCCGGCACAGGTCACGCACAATGGTGTAGCCGATGCCCTTGTTGGCACCGGTCACCAGAGCCACGCGGCTGCAGGATGACATGGCTGAGTGGGAGTTCGACTCAGAGCCTGAGCTGGGGAGCAATGCTGTCGGCGTGGGTCTGGAGTCTAAATGAAGTGCAGAGCAGGTCCAGAGAGAGGCGCTGCCCCGCACCCAGCCTGTGCAGGGCTTGTGTTCCAGTAAGTTCCTGGGGTATAGTGCAGGTCTGGGGTTGGAGCAACCTGCCTCTAAGTTGCAAAATAATTGGCTGAGGACCAAGTTGGTGGCTGCTAGCGCCTGCGTGCCAGGCACAAAGAACCATTCTGATTGGCTGTGCTGTGGATCTGAGCTGACCTTTATCCCCATTCTCTAAAGTTCTTTTTTCCCCCCCAGATTCTCCCAACTGTTCAACTGCTCCTCACTGTCTTCGCAAACCTAGACTCCTGTATGCACATACTCTCTGCTGTTTTGAAAAATATCGCAGGATCTGGTGTCTTTGGCATTAGTGTTGTGAGATGAACTGGAAGAGAATGACAAGGGACAGGCTTCTGTTGGTTTCCCCATAACAAGACAAATGCACAGCCACTGGCTCCTCTTGTCCCGCTGATCCACTGGCATGCAAGGCACTGAGTGGAACAGCAGAGGGCGCCCTGGGCCCTTGCAAGGCCATCATCTTACCTGGCTGGGAGTCCTGCAGGGCACAGGTGCTGGGGCCTTCCCAGCCCTATAGTTCCCTCAAGGTGTCGAGATACTCCTTTCTAGCCCCATGGTTAATGAAGAAACAGGTCTCTTCCCAGAGACTTCATCCATCGCCTTGTAGTGGGAAATCAATGTTCCTCACTGCTCACTATTGTGACGAAGTATATTCCTGAGGACGTTATAGGTAAGGGGCTGGTGACTACAGGTTAGGTTTCATTTCTGTGTCATCCAGTAGGTTGCCACTACACACAACTGGCTGCTTCCATGTCGATTTCAAGAAACTAAATGAATGCAAGAGAAAATTCAGTTCTCAGCTGCAGTAGCCACAAAACCAGTGTTCAGTCTCTGTGGCCACAGTGTTGGGCTGTGCAGACACAGGGCGTAATGGATGGACCGTGGTGCTTTATAAGGATTCCATTAGGTTTCTGCAAGGTGGGTTTCCAACCAGTGGCTTAACAGAAGGTTGATCACTGGGAAAGACCCTTGCTGTTTTTGAAGTGAAATTGTTATTGAGGTAATTGTAGATTCACATGCAATTGTTAGAAATAATACAGAGATTCCTTTTACTTTGCCCACTTTTCATCATTGGTAATGATTTGCAAATGTACAGTACCTGGATAGGTGCTGTGTCACAGTGGGATAGGCTGTCACCTCTGGTGCCTGCCTGCAGTATCAAAGCGCCTGTTCAAGTCCACCTGCCCTGAATTTGATACAGTTCCCTGCTTTGGCCATGGTAGCCTCTTGCTGTTTCAAAGGAGAAACCCAAAAGGGCCCAAGAATATTGATTTTCAGCCCAATTTCTTTACCATTTAGTACTGGTACCAACACAGAACCGAGAGGTCAATGGGGCTGGATGCTCCAGATTAACTAACACTAGTGAACTTCTATAAGGTCCTGGGGAAAAATGACTTAAAAGATAGTGCACAATCTCTATGAACTTTAAAAATTCATTCATTCATTCAACTGTGTGTGTGTGTGTTTGAGAGAGAGAGAGAGAGAGAGAGAGAATGGAAGGAGGGAGGGAGAGGGAGAGAGGGAGAGGGAGAGAGGGAGAAAGAGAGAGGGAGAGAGGGAGAGAAGGAGAGAGGGAGAGAGGGAGAGAGATATCTCCATTCCTTGGTTAACTCCTCAAATGCCCAGAATGACCAGAGACCCAAAGCTGGGAGCCACATCTCCATCTGCGTTTCCCATGTGGACATCATGGACCCAACTACTTAAGTAGTTACTTGCTCTACTTCCGGGTGACTGCAGCAGGAAGCTGCTATCAGGAACCAGAAGAGAGAATCTAACCCACCTATTCAACATGCGCTACAGGCATTTTAACTGCTAGGCCAATGCCCGTCCCCTTAGGAGACCTTTTGAAGTTACCTCAAATATACAAAGGATGGGAAAAGGGCTGCCACGTGTCCCAGCAGGGCCTGACCAGGCAGGACGAGCAGGTAGTGATGCCTAGTCCAGACGCCAGCAGGGTGGCTGCCCTAGGTGTCCTGGAATTAGTTCCTGGCCTCTATGTTCAAAGTAGCCCAGAAAAAAGAGAGATTCTTACTGTTATGTGTAGTAACTGCAGGACGCCAGTCTCCCTGCCAACATGGCATGAGACACAAGCCCTGCTTGTGCTAGCTGGATTAGGGGCCACAGGACACTGGGCACCCTCAGTACCCATCGTGCTGGGTTAGAGATGGTAGGGCCCTAAATCCAAAGACAAGGTTCCTTACAGGAAGGGAAGAGGACACATAGATGCTCCGTAGAGAAGAGGCTGTGTGAGGTAGAGGCACAGCTTGGAGTTCTGTTGCTACGTTCAAGACCCACCCAGGGAGAGATGCAGGCAGCAGCCACTGCGGGAGGCAAGGGAGGATCCTGGGTCAGAGCTTGGAGAGAGAGCAGTGCCCTGCCATCCCTGAGCCTCGGGCTTGTGGCTTCCAGAACCCTGAGAGGATGGATCTCTGCTGCTTGAGGTCCCCACCATGCGGCATTTATATATGGCAGCCAGGGCACTGATGCACCTGCCCCAGAGTGCAGCGGCCACAAGTCCACAAGAGGGCAGTGTCGGGCAGCAAGCGCTGATCCTGCAGATGAAAACTCGGGGCCAAAATAATCACTGAGGCCTAGGGGGAAAACCAAACAAGTCGTGTTTCAATGATGGCACACAGGTATTAATTTCACTTTAAATATTTACAGCCATTATCTTTTTATGGAATAATTTCTGAGCTGTGTAACAGCCTGCTAAAAAGCCACGTTGGAATAACACCCTGGTTCTGCTGTCACTGCTCACACAGGGGAGGAGTCTGCAGATACTCCCATCCCTGGAAGACACACACAGGCCAAGTGCTCTCCAGGTGGGCTGCAAACTGTGCACTTGGGAGAAATGTGGACAAGGCTGTGTTGTCTAAGCCTTAGCAATGATGAGGGCACAAAGGACAGAGCTGAGAGCCACTGACCCACACGTCCCAGCTCAAGTGCTCCCCAGCCTGATGGGCAGAGGGGACCCCCAGTGTCCGGGGCCCCTCCTCCACCTTGCATGGGTGAGGCTATTTCTGTTTCAAGCATGAAGCCCACTTGCAGACACTACACTCAAATGGCTCATGCACGTTGGCAGGGAACTGGCTTCCTGCAGGTCACCAGTCCTGAGAGGAAGCAGTTCCCTTTTCCCCTGGTTACTCCGATATACAGGCCAGGAGCTAATTCCACGGCTCCAAAAGGGCAGCTTCCTTGGCATCTCAAGAATAGCCAGCGCATGCCTGCCTGTCCTGCCTCGGCCATCCCTCCTGGGATGGTGGTAGCATCTGACCCAGCACATGGTACAATGAAGGTAAGTTCAAAAAGGTCACGGGCATTTGGCCTAGCAGTCAATGTACTCATATCCCATACTGGAATATCAGTTGGATGCCCACCTCTGGATTACAGCTGATTCAAAGCGTGCGCCCCAAGAGGAAGCAGGTGATTGAGCTGACCCACCTCTAGATCGGGTTTCTGGTTCTCAGCGTTGCCCTCCCCCTTCTGTTCTGAGCAATTAAGGAGAGAATCAGTGGATGGAAGATCATCCCCACCCCCTTTTGTCAAATGAATGAATGAATAAAGAAGTAAACAAAATTTAAAAGTCATAGAAAATGTGCATTATATTTTAAATTAATTTTCCCATGATCTTTTGGAAGTTCACCAGGATTAGGTTAAGTGAGGCATCCAGCCAAGCTGACCTGTCAGTTCTGTGTGGGTAACAGTATTAAAGTATAACAAAATCGGGCTGAAGATCATGATTCTTGGGCCCCCCAGGTTTGCCTTTGGAAACAGCAGGGGGCTCCCCACTACCAAAGTTCCCCGCATACCACGTGCTATCACTGACAGGTGTGGTACTGTAATTAATCCACCCACTGCTGTCTAACACTGGCTCACACTACCTACAGACAAATTATAAAGAAACCAGGATGAGGGTCAGCACTGTGGCATAGCGGATAAAGCCGTCACCTGAAGTGAAAGCATCCCAGATGGGCACTGGTTTGAGTCCTGGCTGCTCCACTTCTGATCTTGCTCTCTGCTATGGCCTGGAAAGGCAGTAGAAGATGGCCCAAGTACTTGGGTCCTTGCAGCTGTGTGGGAGACCCAGGAGAAGATCCTGGCTCCTGGCTTCAGATAGGCACAGATCCAGCCATTGTGGCCAATTGGGAGTGAACCAGCAGATGGAAGACCTCTCTCTCTGCCTCTCCTTCCCTCTGTGTAAATTTGACTTTCAAATAAATAAATAAATATTTTTTTTTTTTAAAAAGGAACCAAGAAACAACATGGCACACATACACTGAGATAGGGGAGAAATTCCAGGCAGCTCTCAATTCAGTTCACTGGGGAAAAATAATCCCAGGTGGTATAATTCCATCTATATACCATTTAGAAGTTCATTTGTATGTTTTTCGTAGTATGAAAGGAAGGGAAACAGATAAAGAGAAAGAGAAAGAGGGAAAGAGAAATAGATCTTCCATCCACTGGTGCACCCAAAATGACCACAAGAACCAGGACAGCACCTGGCAGGAATAGGAGGCAGGAACTCTATCCCAGTCACCCAGTCCCAGAGCAGGGGGCCAAGCACTGAGTTATCATCTACTGGCTCTCAGGATGCATGAGCAGGAAGCTGGATAGGGAGCGGAAGAGCCGGGTCTCAAAGGGGCTCTCCAATACAAGGTGCAGGTGATGTAAGCAGGGGCATAACCTGCTCGTCCACGACTCCTGTCTCTGTGTACATATTTTCTAAAGGATAACAATTTTTAAATGATTAAATGGTGAACAGATTCATGGTTGTCAGAGGACAGATTTGCGAGGCACCAACAGAGGAGTGTTTCATGGTTGTCAGAGGACAGATTTGAAAGGGACCAAGAGAGGAGTATTTGGTTCTACAAGAGCAACAGGGGGCTTCTGGTGCAGGTGCAAAGATTCTGATCTGGACTGCAGTGGTGGAAATGCAAATGGCACGTGATGAAACTCTGCCGGACTATACACACACGGGCAAACACCACACACACAGAACTGGGGGACTCTGAACAGGAC